TGTGAGTGTATGTATTGGTATGTATTGGTGTGAATGTGTGTGTGTGTGTGTGTGTGTGTGTGTGTATGTGTGTGTATCTGTACGTGTGTGTGTGTTGGTATGTGTGTGTGTTTGTGTGTGTGTGCATGTGTGTGTGTGTTGGTATGTGTGTGTATTGCGTTGAAAGGTGTATATACAAATGTATATTATAAAAAGATTGAGGTGCTGGGGGGCAGGTGTGTGTGGCCCATCCAAGTCAAACCTTCTACTTCTATCATTTTCAGAGAAACCTGCAAAGCAACCTACGACTACCTGATTGATTTAGCGTTTGACGCTCAAGGACCCGCGGTCGGCGTCCAACAGATCTCTGGATACACTTTGTTCACCTACGAAGAAGAGGTGATTACTTGCTCGTGTTTTACACCCCTGTCAACACATTTTAGGTCAAAAGGGAGGTGGACTGTGAATTGTGCTTTGAGTCAGATACCGGGACCCTTTTGAAAGACAAGAGATACTTGAGGATATAGACTTCCTCTTTTAGTTTTAGTAGAGGTTTTACGGCGCTTCCTCTGTGGGGAATCGAACTGATGTCTTTTGCATGAATAGATATAATAAGTGGTGCCCATTAGCGTATCATCGGTTCCGTTCGGTTCTGTTTTGTCAGTTTTGTAGGTTTGGGGCTAGCCGGATTGACCTCTACGCGAGGGGCAAAACCAAGAAAACCTATAAAATCGATGATGACCTTCGACAGCATGTTGGGGATCGGTTTTGACAGTTGGTGTATTTATAGTGGGCTCTGAAGCTGCCTGAGACCGAACCAAACCGAATCAAAGCAAACCGAGTCAGTCCTCCAATGGGCACCACCGATGAGAGCTTAACATTTCACCACAGACTTGGGTCAATAGAAAAGTGAAAGCTACGGGTATATAAAAAAAAGAAGGAAGCTGAGAGCCCAGAAAAGAATCTCTCTCTCTTGCCCTTTTTAATTCCCAGTGGAGCACAGGCCATCAACAGCATTACTCCAGCGAAGCCTGTCCTGAGCATCCTTTTTTTATCTGTTTCCATGATGTCCCCGCTTTTTCAATTTCAGCTTGTACCGCTCGTCTCCATGTCATTTTTGGTCTTCCCTTCTTTCGTTTTCCTTGTGGAAACGTTTTGCTTGACGGGGGTCTCCTCAGGGTGTGTCCAATCCATTTCCATTTCTTCACCTGTACGTCTTCCAGAAAAGAATAGGAGAATGTAAATGAAAAGGCGTAACAGAAAGACAGTACAAAAGAGACTTTTCGAGTGTTTATATGTTGTGTATTACTATGTTATATATATATATATATGTATATGTGTCACGACTATGTCCTGTATATATGGAATCAGGTGTTTGTCAGTTTTTGGGCATCTGGTGTTATTGGTATGATCTTAAAGCTAATTAATTTTTCTAGCTTTTGAAGAAACAATTACCCTTCTAACTTAAATAGAAGTTGAGGTATTTGTGATTGCAGGATGTGGGGGTCGCCTGTGGGGGTTATAGTTAGGTAAAAATGAGCGAGAGAATGGCAGCCAAAGGGACTTCCACAGCTTGAGGGCGAGTGTCCTTGGAATGGAAAATACAAATTTACATTTCCTGTGCCATTTATTCACTTTTTAAAAGTAAAATGAAATTTGTTTTTAGATGGATATAAAGGTGTTGAAACCCCCCCCCCCCCCCCAAATAAAAAAAAATAAAAAAATAAATAAATAAAATTTAAAAAAGAAGGAAGCTGAGAGTGCAGAAAAGAATAGGAGAATGTAAATTCCAATAAGATTGCCTACAGGCAGATATCGACTGTTCTTTTGCCATTTCCTTATTTGGATGAGCGTTTTGATTTAACCACAATACCTCACAAATGTAGGCTATAACCATTGTTCATGATCAACGTTGGTCAATGTCTTTGCCACTGCATTCTATAAAGCTGCTGTTTGTTTGGAACTTTCCAGAAATATGAACTTTTCCATGACCTTGTGGATGGCTATCGCATTCTTCAGCCGTCAGAACTGAAGAAATTCCCAGCGGCAAAGTAAGTATCTTTTTTGGCATACTGACTCGTGTGTACTTTGAATGGGGTGAGGAAATTTGTGCCAGATTTTATTGGTGGCATCAGTGAAGGTGTTAACGAATAAGCCTGCTTAGTGTAACTAAATCTAAATGGATTAATTTTGTTCACATGGATTTAGATAAGATAAGACACATCTTTATTGTCCAGATCCTGGCACATGATTTGGTGTTTCACCATGTACACACACACACACACACACACGCACACACACACACATGCACACACACACACACACACACACACACACACACACACACACACACACACACAAGAAGGGAATACACACACTCACACTCACACATACAAACATACGCGCACAAACCTTTAAAAATCTCGCGAAAAAACCCAATACCAGGCAAGGGAAAAAAACGAAAAAGAAAAACCGGGCGTGCCCAAAATGTAAAAGAAAAAATTAGTAGATCTAGATCTAGGCCTTAGAGAGAAAAGGGAAGAGAATAAGAAGATATGTGAGGCAGCATGGTGGAATCAGGCTCTCGTCAATTTTTGGGCATGTTGAGCTAAAAACCAAAAAATTAATAAAAATTCATGCGGAAAAATGCAAGTTTCTTCATTTTGATTATTTTGACGAGAGCCTGATTCCACCACGCTGCCTCACATATTTCTGTTCTGGTGCCTTCACTTTTGGAACCAATTATACGTACATTATTAGACGCTTTGTTGCTCAGAAATGTATCTTGTCCCTTAAACTACGACACATTGTTCAGAAACACATACACTTCGATGAAGCCGTGAATAAGTCACCAACGTACGTAATAAGTTTCTTTATTTTCACTTTTTCATCCTTTGTTGCCATTAAGCGTGGAGGGGAGATGAAGTTTTTCCATAATAAGTATTGTCGAGGAAAGATTCTCATTTTTTGGCCCCAAAATCTGGAACACCTTGCATCAAGATCTTAGAGAAACAGCAAATTTTGATAGGTTAAAGCAATTGCTCCAGATTCATTTGTTCAATTAATTGTTAGTTATAGTGTGTTGGTAAGTTCTGATTTTTTAATATACATGTATAGATATATTTACATTTTTTAAACTGTCCTTTCGTGTATGGTTAATGTATGGTTGTGAATGTTCTTCTTTATGAGGTTGAACTGGTTTTTCTTGCTTCTGTGAAATATTTTCTCTTGTGTGAATGATTATGTGATTGGTGTAAAGCACTCAGAGCTTATACTTGTATGGAATACAGCACTATATAAATGCAATCTATTATTATTAATCTATTATTAAATAATCTGCCATTTCATTTCTTCCAAAGGTCTGGCTATTTTTACACCTCTGTGCAAGTCAACACTGTGGTTTTTCTGCCTTGGCTGATGCAAAAGTAAGTCGTATTTTTTCTTCTTTTGTCTCTATACGTCCAGTTCCCCAATGCTAAAAAGACTAATTTTGTGTGTGTGTGTTTGTGTGTGTGTGTGTGTGTGTGTGTATGTGTGTGTGTGTGTGTGTAGGTGTGTGTTTATGTGTGTTTAAATCAAAATCTACTATAGGTTTACTTTGATAAGTAAGTGTGTTATTGGCATTTTGCAGGTGTCATAATTTCGCTGGTCAAATTTGCGGGTGCAATAACGTATCGACTCTAACGATGGATATGTAATATGTCTCGACGTGGTGGAATCAAGCGCTCGTCAATTTTTTGGCATGTGAGGTTAAAATTGTATCATAGTGAACATGACTTACTTGTTTATTTGTGTTGCTTTTGATGAAAGAAGTACCCATCTATCTTCAATAGAAGTTGAGATAGTTGCTATTGAAGAAGGTGGGATCGCCAGGTTTCCATGGTAAAGTTAGCGAGAATAAATGGCCGCCAAAGTTTGATGATTTCAATAGCTTGAGAGTCCCTGAAAACGATAAAATTACCTATTTTGTGCCTTTAATCAACGTTTTTCTGTGAAATTCACACGAAAATATGTTTTTACTTGGGCACGAAAGGTATGGACCCGAAAAAACGAAAATTCCTTGGTGCCTTGATAGCGGAAGCTGACTTTGTACTGTTGAAACTAGAGAGGTGAGCAGAGTAAGTCTGATTCCCTGTTTGGACTTCTCTGTTGATATCCACCCCTTGGCGTTCATATGACCTTTTATGTAGTTGCGAGTGCCGTGAAACCTTACTAAAACTAACAAAACTAACTTATTCATTTCCACCATTTGTTCTTTTTCAGATTCAAAAGTATGGGAGGCAAAGTGAGGTGTGCAAAAGTTGATTCACTGAAGGAGGTAACGAGCTGCTGAAAATGTCAGATACTTAAAAAATTACTTACGAAAAGAAAAATTAAGTGATTAAAATGAAGACCAATGTACACTAGATCTAGATTTTTTTCACCGGCTCTTAAATTCTGCTTTTTGTATTTTCGTGCACGTTTTTAAGTCACAATTTGAATCTCCCAATCATATGTAGGCCTATTTCAGTGCAGTAGCGCTCGATTTCATGAACAACTTGATTTCTTGAATTTCTTTAAAAATCTTGAAAATTGCAAATCCAAATCACATATGGCAAAAAAACCAAGCCTGGTATACTCATACAGTCATTCATATTACGAAGACCAACGTTACTCGCTCAAAATGATTGAATAATTGTCCGAGGTACCTGCATTAGCGTCCATGATTTACTCGAGAGATTTTTCTTTTCTTTCATTTTAAAAAAAGAAAGGAAACCACTCCAGCCAAGTGGATTCATCAAATTCGGAGTCAGCCAGGTTTTCCGTCATGGATGGGCCAAAAACTACATTGGATAACAGTAAAAAATATTATGATTTTATGTTTCAATTTCATGTTTCTACCCGTTTCCACCACACCAAATGCAAAATGTGCTGACTTATACATTTTGGTTTTAGTTTGTGAATGAAGAGTTATTGTTGTTTTGGGTTTTTTCATGAATGAAGAGTTAATAATTGTCTTTCTGCTGCCATTACAATGCTACTCCTCAGCTCCTTCTTACTACTGTCTTTCAGCCACACGCCTGATCTTAGGGTAGGTAAGATCCAACACCTAGCCTTGTCGGGTAATGGTGAAAAAATTATGGAGGTCCTGTGTGCAAGTTGTGCAACTTAAAGATCCCTTGGTGGTCCTAAAATTAATAAAAGTATGCTTCGGCTGCCACCAATTTTTTCATTACTACCAAACTGAAAATGCTTGACTCTATCCGTATCCTGAGGTCATCTGGTACCTCCAGGTTATATTCTTCACATTTTACAATACTTCTAGTGCGAAGATCTCCTTGAAACTTTCAGTATTTCTCAAAAAATAATTTTCAACAGAGTGTTATGCAAAGTGTACGGATCGGATTAACGCGTAAATTTTCTCTTTGGAAAGTGGTGGCACAGAGTTCCCCATGTCATATGGATACGATAGTAAAACACTACGTACGGATAGGGTTAATGTGTCCCATATGCTCATATGATCTTATACAGTTGAGAGCGCTGTAAAACACTTACAAAAATTGAACCAAAAATTTAAATATTGCTCCTCTACTCCAGTTTTCAGGTCAGTGTGATGTCATAGTGAACTGCTGTGGCCTGGGTTCAAAGCAACTGCTCAACGATCAGCAAATGGTGCCTGTGAGAGGGCAAGTTCTGAGGGTGGGTATATGGCATGTTTCTGGAAAATTGGTTGCTACTTTAGTTAGCATGTTGTCCATGACTCTAAATGCTGACCATACATATACATTCACAGACACACACACTCACACATACACTCACACACACACATACGCACTCATACAAACACATGCAAACACACACACTTACAGATACACACACATATACACACACATACACACATACGCGCACACAAACTTGCAAATACACGCACACATACACACATACCCAGGGGCGGTTTGTTAACTGGGGTGCCGGTCAGATTTTTTTCAGCTGGACTGTTGACAGGAGATTTATTGCTGATGATGATTTTCATTCAGTTTTAAGTAAATCCAAACAAACATGTATCAACATTCAAAAAGCACCTTGCCGATTTGAAGGCGCACAAATAGAGAAGTGGGATTCACTGCTGTTTATTTGTCGCGACAGAGCCTCATTCCTTCACGTTTGTTATCACGCCGGCTCGTAACTTTAAATCGTCTCCCCTCCCATCAAGCCGTCACTTCGCGGAACTTCGTAGGTTACTACGTACGAGACAAACACACGGCGGGCTTTGGCCTAGCGATGACGTCAGTCCCATGGACAAATCCATCGACAGTCTTGAGAAGGAATAGAGGCAAGGAGTTTAGAACTAAATTGCCAAATTGGCCTCTTTGTAGCTTACAAAATTAAGATTGAGACTGTCTTGAGCAGCACAGACACATGTATTATTTTATCAGCAAAACATGTATTTATCATTCAGCCTTTCTCTAACTACTATCAGAACATTTATTGTTAGCATGGCACTACTCTTTTTTGTTTATTGACTTTCTAACCACCTATAGTTCCTGTTTGACATTTACTCATCGTTGTCTCCCCACTAATAACTTACCTGGCCCATAGGAGTCTGGCCGGCGGAGGGAGGAATCGTCTAGTGAAGATATATAAGGAGAATTTTAATGAGGAGCCATAAGCACTCGGCTGTCAGAGTCTGGGCCAGGCCTATCCCCTCCCTTCCCTCCCCTTTTCCACCGTCACCCCAGCTAGACACCAAGTTCTATAATTAGCATTTGACACACTTCCCCACTTCGTTACAACACAGTGTTCTCTTCTGAGAAGTGAGAAGTGCGTTGAAGAAAAAATGTGATGATATTATAATGGTTGGAAACTTGTGTGCTTTGTCCAGCTTTGTACACTATGTATCTGATTGTAGACTTGATCTGCATGGGACAGCATCACTGGTACAGTATCAATTACCTTTTTGTCATCATACAGGACAGTTCTTATTACATATTTAACGGGTCCAGTGCACGTCGATATTTTGTGTAGGGGTGTAGAAAGTACGAGTAAAGTACTGAAGGCCAGGACCAGCAGTTTATTGCCTCTCACTTTCAGTTTGTTTTCTGGCCTAGTAGTGTTTTGTTTTTTTTCTGTGCCGATCAAGTCAGTTTCTATTAATCTGACTAACTTCCTTCGTACGTTATTCATGATATTGTTTCTTGACACTACCGCATATTTTAGCTCTTTCACAGTATATTACAATGTTTACAGTGGTGTGTGTGTGGGGGGGAGTGGGGGAGGGGGTGGGGACGGCGAAAGTATGGGTATAAAATAAGAGAGAGAGAGAGAGAGAGAGAGAGAGAGAGAGAGAGAAAATGTGTGTGTGTGTGTGTGTGTGTGTGTGTGTGTGTGTGTGTGTGTGTGTGTGTGTGTGTGTGTGTGTGTGTGTTGTGAAGGAAAGGAATAGTCGACGTGAATGACGGCCGGTCAGTTCTATAAACCACGAGCCGCTACTGCACATACCCGTACACACACATACACACACATTCATATACATACACACACAAACAAACACACACACACACACATCCACACACATTCCCATGCATACACACACAAACAAACACACACACACACACACACACACACACACACACACAAACACACACATGCATATATATTTACATTGTAGAGAGAGAGAAAAAGAACGAAATTATTGGTTTTAAGACATATCCGCCCCCTCCCTCCCCCCCCCCCAAAAAAAAAGAAGAAAAAAGCATTTTAAAGTTTAAAAAATATTTGTGTGTAAGATTGCTGTTGATCATATTATTATATTCCTATTCATTCTTATTCAGGTTTCTGCTCCCTGGGTCAAGCATTTTTACCTCTTGAAAAATGCGGATGGGAACTTACTGTCTTACATATTACCGAGGTGAGTGATGAGTATTTTTCTTTCTGATGAACGGTCTGATGGGGTTGATTAGTTAAGTATAAGGTTTTACACCCCTTTCAACCCTAGAGAGTTGTTTTCTTTACGAAACGGGACTTTCAAAGTTACCACCGTCTCCGATAGGATTGAGCCAAGATGTCGAAGAGCCTTGAAAATTTCTCCAACATCCCAAGCTCAATAAATTCCCATGCTGATTCGAACCGAAATAATGCGCAACATAATACAGCATGATACGAATGCTCTAATTGCGACCATTACTGTTCTTTGAGGTATGTGTGTTAGGTGGGGAATACAGTAGGGAAACAGTGGTACTGGTAAAGCAGTCCCCGTCGTTTTATGCAAGAAATATTCTGAAATTAAGCAAAATGAGCCCAAAAAATGTGAAATTATGCGATTCAGTTAATTTTAACAAAGAATGATAAAGGAAAATAATCAGAAATTAAGCAAAAAAATGATCAAATTTAGCTAAATTATGCGGGGTGCATAAAACCACGGGGACAGGTATAAAATATGACATGTAGATGTACTTGTGTTCCCCATGACAGCACTAGTGAAATTGTGGTTTGTGGAAAATACAGTAGCGAAACAGTGGTAGGGCATACGTACTTGTGTTCTTGTGAGCACTACAGTTGGGGAAACAGTGGTACTGGTATAGTATGTAATGTGTATACGTACTTGTGTTCTTGTGAGCACTACCGTTAGGGAAACAGTGGTACTGGTATAGAATATGACATGTGTATACGTACTTGTGTTCTTGTGAGCACTACGGTTGGGGAAGCAGTGGTACTGGTATAGAATATGACATGTAGATCATGTACTTTGTGTTCTTGTGACAGCTCTAACGAAATCGTGGTTGGTGGGGAATACAGATAGAAAAACGGTGGTACTGGTATAGAATATGACATGTAGATGTACTTGTGTTCCTCGCGACAGCACTAACGAAATCTTTGTTGGTGGAGAATATAGTAGCGAAACAGTGGTAGGGCTTACTGGTATAGAATATGACATGTATGTAAACTTGTGTTCTTGTGAGTACTACAGTTAGGAAAACGGTGGTACTGGTATAGAATATGACATGTGTATACGTACTTGTGTTCTTGTGAGTACTACAGTTAAGAAAACGGTGGTACTGGTATAGAATATGACATGTGTATACGTACTTGTGTTCTTGTGAGCACTACAGTTAGGAAAACGGTGGTACTGGTATAGAATATGACATGTGTATATGTACTTGTGTTCTTGTGAGTACTACAGTTAGGAAAATGGTGGTACTGGTATAGAATATGACATGTGGATGTACTTTGTGTTCTTGTGAGCACTACAGATAGGGAAACAGTGGTACTGGTATAGAATATGACATGTGGATGTTCTTGTGTTCCTCGCGACAGCACTAACGAAGTCGTGGTTGGCGGCACAGCGGAGAAGGGAGTCTGGGACACAACCTGTACCGAGGAGGACAGCCAGAAAATATGGACGGCTGCCACAGACTTCCTGCCCATGCTGAAGGTAAACAGGATGCGACCTCTGCTAAGTGCAGCAGTATTTGAAATATCAACCCATTTTATACAAATGAATTTATTAGAAATACCTGGTTTTAAAAGTGACTTCATTAGAAATAATCAACCCATTTTATACAAGTGACTTTATCCAAAATAATCAACTCGTTTTATACAACTGTATTTATTCGAAATAATCACCTCTTTTTATACAAGTGTATTTATTCGAAATAATCACCTCATTTTACACGAGTGTATTTATTCGAAATAATCACCTCATTTTACACAAGAGTATATTGCATTCAAAATAAATCACCCCATTTTATTCAGGAGTATTTCTAATGCTGCTAAAACCGTGACTGAAGGTACGCAAATGTCAATATCTACACATGAACTGTTCACATTTTTCTTCCCCACTTGTTTAATGCCCTGTAATTCCCCCTCCCTTTGTTTCGGTAATCACAGACACACTTTGACGTCAAACTCCGAGTCTTAAAGCCCTTGATAATCATAGTCTACTGTAGCCCTTGATAATCATAGTCTACTGTAGCCCTTGATAATCATAGTCTACTGTAGCCCTTGATAATCATAGTCTACTGTAGCCCTTGATAATCATAGTCTACTGTAGCCCTTGATAATCAAAGTCTACTGTTCTTGCAGTCCGTGAGTGGACTTTATTAACTCAATTGTGAGGCAGCGTGGTGGAATCAGGCTCTCGTCAATTTTTGGGCATGTAGAGTTATTGGTATCATCTTAATGCTTGTTCATTTGTCTTTATTCGGGTGAAAAAAATATTCATTTATCTTGAACACAAGTCGAGATATTTGCGAATGAAGAGGGTGGGGTCAACTGTTTTCAGAGGTAAGATTAGTGAGAAAAGGGTCGCCAAAGATTAGTCATTTCCTTAGCTTAAGAGTCCGTGGTAACTGAAAATTTACATTTTTTTGTGTCTTTAATCAAAATTTTTCAGAAAAATTCACACAGAAATGAGTGTTTAATGGGCATGAAAGGTGTTGAGCCAAAAAACAGAAATTCGATAAAAATTCACAAACCTTCGGGAAAAATGCAAGTTTCTTCATTTTGATTATTTTGACGAGAGCCTGATTCCACCACGCTGCCTCACAATGACAAAGTTACCAAGACGTTCTGAACACCTATTTTGTCCTTTCAACAACAAACTAAATGCAATGTTACAGCACAGTTTTAATTGTCATACACAAGTGAAACACACAAATGTATATATATTATTTTTATATTATTTATTAAAAATATAGTATGCATGTGCTTGCCTCAGAAATAGAAAACGGACTAAACAATTCTTGTACCCCTATGAAGAACAAAACTACTTGTAAGCTTTTTTTAAAGTGCCCCAAAGCAGCTTAACTTCAAGAATTGCCAAACGAACAGAATGCACTTATAAGTTACTGTAATTGATTGTTATAGTCTCTTAACTGTATTGTTTTATGTAACTTTTACGTGCATTCTGTTCATTTTATGAACTTTTCATGAATTTATTGACATCCTGTACTTGTCATGAATATCTGGACATCCACCTATTTTCTGGTTGTTTCCCCTGACTGAGACGTGGGATCTCCTGCACAAGGAGGAGAGGGACAAGAGAAAACCAAGGACTAGAAGACTTTTATGGACTTGTTTTTTACGTCTCTACCGAGACAATTTGGGAGGCAGTGTAGTGAAATCAGGCGCTCGGTAAAATAATGAAAGTGAAGAAACTGGAATTTTTCCGCAGGTTTGGGAAGTTTTATCAAAATTTTGTTATTTGGCTCAACACCTTCCATGTCCATTAAAGAATTCGTTTATGTGTGGATTGTAGCCTCCGAAAAAAGTCAATTAAAGGCATAAAAAATGTCAATTATCTTTTTCCTTGTACTCTCAAGCTACCTCCTTCAATCGCAAATATCTCGACTTGTATTCAAGAAAAATGGATTTTTTTTTATCGAAAGCAAGACAATTTAAAAAGCTTTAAGATGATACCAATAACTTAACATGCCCAAAAATTGACGTGCGCCTGATTCCACCGCGTCGTGACACATTTAGATCATTTATAAGGCGGGCTTCGACCCTGCCTGTCAGGTAGTGCTGGGCGGCCAGGTTCCCCATTATTGAAAACTAGGAATCGTAGGAATCGACTCCGAACCCAAATACTTACTTTCTAATGATGGGATTTCTTCCGGTGGTTACCTAATTGGCTCCGAACATCTTCAGGATATAGGATAACCTTGATTTCGGAAGACTAGGAAGCATAAACTTTTATTTTTTTAAAATAAATCTAAAAAAGAAAGAAGAAGATTTCAATGATTAAAGTAATTGGTAACCGTTGGTTTTCGTAAAAAGGAGTCGGAACTTTTCATATGTAGCATTAATCGTGGGAATCGGTTCCGGAATCGAGTCTTCGCCCAGCTCTACTGTCAGGGCCAACCCGGGCTGAGAGGAATACAACTCCCAGCAGTAAGACTGGAGCTACTTGTATTTGTAAAATTTTCTTGCCACTGTGAGATAGAACTTGAGTCTTCAGCGCACAAAGGCATTGAACCTAACCACTACACCACAGATATCTGTGGACTGGACGGCGCACTAGTGATAGTAGTGATACTAACCAGGGAAAATGTTTGGAAATGTAAAAATCTAGAATTTTCTTTGAGACTAAACTGATGGAGAAAATTTTATAGTGGAGAATATTCTCCCCACCCTCCTCCCTCCTCCCTCCTCCCTCCCTTTTGTTCCCCTGTCTTGGCAGTCTGCTCATATTTTTCTGTTACACTAAGACAAATTCAAAAAGAAAAATATGGTGATGAATGCTTCCTCCTTTAATAATAATTAATACCATTGATCCTCCACGTCCCTCGTGACTCATTGGAGCAGAGGAAGATAGGACTAACGCTAACATTACTTAAACGCAATCGCTCATCATCACTCATCACCACTATTAATTCTAAAATCATCATCTCTCTCAGATCAATGACTTACATCTATAATCCTGGAATCTCTATCCGCTATTACAGTTAATTCATATACTAAGTATGCATGTAATACACTACTGGACACAATCATACGCACTTTTTTCCACTAATCAGATGGCGTCAATCTCATATAAATGGGCAAGGGGAAAAAAAAAAAAATACCATTGATCCAGTGTGGGGTCGCAGGTAATTTATATTTGGGAAAATGCTGAATAATTGTGAGAGAGTGGCGTGTATACAGGACTAAAGGCTTGTGTCGCAGAAGCCAAAATCATCAAACCATTATCCTGTCAGGATCTGGACAATAAAGATGTATCTTATCTTATCTTATCTTATTTTATCTGTAGAAAATTGTTGCTCTAAGAATTCTTGTGTGGGGAGCATTTTTCATACAGCCAAGCCTGTTGTAATGATTACCTGCCCAAGACCTGTACCTGTACTGTACAAATGATCACATCCCCCCCCCTCCCCTCCCCCCCGTTGCGTTTTCTTCACTACTTCAATAACACCGTTCAAGAAAACCACCTCGCGACCTCAGTGCTTTCTTTCTTGTCGTATCTCCATTTTTTAAACTGAAAATGTGACATTTTTTAAAGTTCACTATTCGTTATGAGCTGTTTTCACTGTTATTAAAAATGGAGGTATGACAAGAAAGCACTGGGGTCATGACCTGTATAAGATAACCACTTTTCTCCTAGACATTTGGTGGTTGTGTTGGACAGGATCCACTATACATCTGTTTTTCAATGCCGTTTTCACTTCTGCAGGAGGCGAAAATTCTCCGACCTTGGGCTGGACTGAGACCTGGAAGATCCTCGTTGAGATTAGAGAAAGAAGAATTGGAATTTGATGGACAGCCCATGAAGGTGAGGCAGTTGTTGTTCTCCTCCTCCTCCTCTTCGTGTTCTTTTAAAAAAATTCTTCTTCTTCTCCTCTTCTTCTTCTTCTTCTTCTTCTTCTTCTTCTTCTTCTTCTTCTTCTTCTTCTTCTTCTTCTTCTTCTTCTTCTTCTTCTTCTTCTTCTTCTTCTTCTTCTTCTTCTTCTTCTTCTTCTTCTTCTTCTTCTTCTTTTTCTTCTTCTTCTTCTTCTTCTTCTTCTTCTTCTTCTTCTTCTTCTTCTTCTTCTTCTTCTTCTTCTTCTTTTCTTTCTTTCTTTGTTATTGTTGTCGTTGGGGTTTTTTTTTTTTGGGGGGGGGGGGGGGGCGACACAGGTAGATCCTTGTGTTGTTTCTGTCCCTCTTTCTTCCTATCTTTCTCAGCTCTAATTGGATGCTGGATCGATAACAACTCTACTCTAATTGGCTGTTATTGCTTCGACATGCTTATTTTTACACAAACAGACAAACAAACAGTCTTCACAAACAAACACAATCACAAACAAATAAACAGACCTCACAACCAACCTCACAAACAAGCTCACAAATGTTCCCCAGGTGGTCCACAACTACGGCCACGGGGGTGCAGGGGTTACCTTGTTCCACGGCTGTGCCCAGAGAGTCAAGGACATGGTCAAGGAATGTCTCAGACCAGAGGCCTCATCGTCCTCCACTCACAAGGCAGCGGCCAAGTCCAAGCTATAGCTATAGCTTCTGGCAGCAACGTCAATTATTGAGATTTTGTACATGTAACTGAAAAATGTTTCACAGTAACCTTCCACTTGAGATTTTATACATGTAACTGTAACTGGAATTGTATCAGCTTCCCACAGCAACATCCTACCTGGAAATGTTTCAGCTTCCCACAGCAACCTTCCAGTTGAGATTTTGTACACGTAACTGGAAATGTTTCAGCATCACACAGCAACCTCCCACTTGAGATTTTGTATATGTAATTGGGAATGTTTCAGCTTCCCACAGCAACCTTCCAGTTGAGATTTTGTACACGTAACTGAAAATGTTTCAGCATCACACAGCAACCTCCCACTTGAGATTTTGTATATGTAATTGGGAATGTTTCAGCATCACACAGCAACCTTCCAGTGGAGATTTTGAACATGTAATTGGGAATGTTTCAGCATCACACAGCAACCTTCCAGTGGAGATTTTGTATATGTAATTGGGAATGTTTCAGGTTCCTGTCTAGGGGAAGGAAGCTTTTAATAAATGCTCAAAATGTGAATGTTTTAGACCCCTATCAAGGTGAAATGAAGCTTTAAATGCTAAAAAAATGTGGCATAAAGGCTTTGACATTTTCATGTAATTGGAAATGTTATAGGCTCCCATGGAGGAGATTTGAAGCTTTTAAATGATCAAAGTGTGAATGTTTTAGGCCTCCATTGAGGTGAAATGAAGATTTTGAATGCTCAAAATATGGCATTGTGGCATTGAAATTGTGTACAATGTAATTGATAATGCTTTAGGTTCTCATCGAGGGGAAATGCAGCTTTGCAAAGCTTAAAATGTGAATGCTTTAGATCCAAATCGAGGTGAAAGGAGGCTTTAAATGCACAAAATATGGCATAATGGCACTGAAATGTTGTACATATAATTATAATTAATGCTTCAGGCTCCCATCAAGGGACATGAAACTTTTAAATGCTCAAAATGTGGCATAATGGTATTGATGTTTTGTAGCCTACATGTAGTTGAAAATGCTAAAGGTCCTCATTGAGGAGATTTGAAGCTTTTAAATGATCAAAATGTGAATGTTTTAGGCCTCCATTGAGGTGAAATGAAGATTTTAAATGCTCAAAAAGCGACATTGTGGCAATGAAATTGTGTACAATGCACTTTGTGAAAGCTTCAGGTCCACGTCGCGGGGAAATGAAGCTTTTAAATTCTCACAAGATAGCATTGTGGCTTTGAAATTGTGCACAAGTAAGCATAAATGCTTTAGGTTCCCTTCGAAGGGAAATGACGCTTTTCAATGCTCCAAATGTGAATGTTTTAGACCTCTTTTGAGCGGAAATGACGCATTATAATGCTCAAAATGTGGCAAATGCTGACTTCTCGGCCTGACTTGGTCTTGTTGGTCTCAGCAGGAGTCACAATAAGTTATCTTCACCCTTATCGTTTATACATATGTATTAAAAGATTTTAAAACCGTTATATCCTAATCTCCTGTTGTTATTATTATTATTATTATTATTATTATTATTATTAT